AACTTTGATCGAGTTTTTCAATCAATAATAAAACCTAGCTCTACTGTTCTAGCGTATGCTGTTTTCTTATTAGGTTCGGCAGAGCGTAAGAACAAATGTATTCGAAGATTTTTTTCTATGATATAACTCTTTCTTTCATAAAAGGACATATTCTTACTGTGATTTGCATCAGCATCTATATCGTGTTTCACATTTTAATCTTACAGTTAGAGTATCTATCGTTGTATCAATAACTTTCAAATAGTTCGCAAACTAAACAATATTTTGATGGAAAAAAGTTCAATGTTATGAGCATGATCATCAAATAAACAATGCTGTCATATTGTATTCGAGCAGGTGTGTAGCTAAGTTGATTTTCATTGTTCCAAATTAAATGTATAAAACAGCAAGATAAAATTATTTACAGACTCTTGTGTGTCAATTTTGATTTCCAAATTTTGCTTTGATAACTGTTGTTTCTGCCATTGAGAATATTAACAGACTTTCTATATCATGGTTATCTTTTTTCACAAAGCATTTTGTCATATATCCTAACAATATATTAAATGAAAGTCCATAGAGAACTCTGGGTTGTGCAATCAAAAAAGTATAAAGAGAGAAACAGTGAAGATAATTGCTCACTTTGTCTGAAAAAAGCATATTTTTCAGGCAGAATATGATAAAAATCATCAAAAACTCTGGGAAAAAAGCAAGATGCCGAAGAAAAAAAATCATGTCGCTTATGAAAAACTGGGCATCAGACTAGCTTTCCATATATTTATCTCAATATTCATCTTTCTGAACACCTAAATTAATATAGACATGAAGATTTTCATGTCAATAACAATAAAACCATAAGTGCATACGAAATAGTTAAAAAAGATTTTTTCTGTCAATCATAAAACATGACTAAGTATATCGTGTTAAGATAATTAGATTTTTAAGATTTTATTGAAGCAAATTATATTGTCTATTCTTTCTTTTGGCATAGTTAAAAAGTGTTTATGAAGTTGTTTGAATTGTTTTCAGTTTTTACGTCTTCAAGAAAATATATTCATGTGATCTGACTTGTTCTCTAACCGATATGAGTTCAATTTCTTATATTTAACAACTGTTTTAGAAGTGATATACAATCCGTAAAATCATAAAAACTCTTCAAAAGAAAACAAAGAATGAAATGACTAGTTATTCATTTAATGTCAAGGCAATCTTAGATTCTCTGTCATCAAGCGCTCAGCAAAGTTTAAATGAATTAGATAAATCAAACATACTATTTTTAAGATAATAGGCTAAGGAAATAAACGAGAGAAAAAAAATTCTCCTTCAAATTAATGAGAAGACTGTTATGACGTAGAAAATAAATGAAAAAAGTCACAGCAGGATAATTGCACTAATTTTAACGACAGCATGTCCTTTTTACCTTTTATGTCCTTTTTTTAAAATTTTCATTTAAACAAGTTATGGAGAAAAATAAACTTGGTGACTGGTTAGTGTATTAGTCAACTAATGATAAAAGAAAACAATTTTAGAGTTTCAATACAATCTTATCTTAAATAGAGAATCATAAAAAATCATTTATTATGATTTTCTTAATTATGATTTCTATTGATAAATAATTACATAAAATATACATCCGCCATATTTATAACAAAATATTAAATATGATCAAATTCGAACATTTCATTTCGGATTCTACTTTGAGTTTTAATCAAAAGAAATGATATATTTTTTTAAAAACAAATTTATTTTCCATGAGTAGACTATGATGATTAGTTTGACTGTTGACTAATTCAATAAATTAGCTTCATTAAAGTCAAACCATGTTTTTACGTTTGTTATATTATATTTTGATTCTTATCATGCTCATTGTAAAGTATACTCTAGTATTCAATTCACGTAGACTGTAAAAAAAGAAAGCTTGTTTTTCTTCGAATTCAAGAGGTCAACTCATTATTAATACTGCTAATGCTTATCCTCAGGAGAAAATGTTAAAATACACACGTCAATGTCTTATGTTACTTTGATCTATTGCACTTGTTCGTATGGAAAACATGCTACGATGAATCTAGGTCAATTTTCTCTTTTGATTTCTCAAAACTATAAATGCTTTTTCTTTCTATTTAATTCACGTACTAATGATTCCAAAATGATTTCCGAATAAGATATATATATATATATACAACTTCAATAATTCAAATAAAAAAATATTTATAGTTAGTTTTTATAGAGAAATTAAATTAATTTATTTCTTTAAAACCAAAAAAATATTTTTTTCACATAAAAAAAAGTTTCATCAGTTTTTCACAATTTTCACGTAGGTTGATCCCAATAATTTGTTAAATTTTTTCCATTATACCAATGTAGAAATAATAACGAAAAAATACATATACATATAAGAAACCACAAATAAAGATTAATTTACACATAGAATGATAATTCTGAATATATTTTCTTTAGTTTTCATAAGACAATATACTACTAGACAACAAAATAAGATCCATTGAAAAGTAATCGAATTATTCAATCATGCATTGTTAATAATCGTGTAGTATTTTCAACAATGGTATCAACCATATCGGAATGTTGAGTACTAGAATTTGTTGCAGTCCATCGAATGATATTTAAAACATATTTAATAAAAGAATTAAAACATTTAACAGCTCCTAAAAATCCATATTGATAAATTAAATACTTCCAAAGCATCGTTACCAATATATTTTGTATACGAACCAAAGACCTTGTACTTGTCATTGTTACCATACTTTCTGTATAATCTAATGAAACTATTGAACAATTTTCAGAAAAAGCAGTAATTAAAAGCATTATTTTAACAAGTGTTCCATTTTGTTCTAATGTCGAAATAAATTTTTTTGTCAATATATAATTTTCATAACCCCAAAGATTCTGACAACCAACAATATAACTTGAATAATCTAATCCATTTGCTTCGCGAACAATAAATAGTGAATTATATGCTCCTAATGTAATAGAATTATGCTGAATAAGAGCTTGACGTGCACCTATTGGTAAGTCATGAAAATAAGGTACACGGTCAAGGAATGATATCATTGTGGAATAATAATATCCAATTATATCTAATGTTGATTTTGCTTTTGAACGAAGTTTTGGCGGTACTGCTGCTTGCTGTTCCAACAAATTTTTAGTATGTTCAATTGAATTGCCTCGATCATATGCATGAATTATGTTTGATAAAAGATCCCATTCAATCTTTGTTAAGGTTGAAGTGTCACTTTGAAGAAGATTAAGTGGTGATGGCTAGAAGTATGATGAATTTTTAATTATTAAAAATAAAATTTTAAGAAAAAAATCCAAAAAACCTGTGGTAATCTTTTATTTTTATTTTTTGGTAATCGATTATGGTTTTTCGATTCATAACGTATTAATTTTGGATTCATACCAAATGAAAAACATTTTCTTAGGCGACAAGCTGAGCAATTACCGCGTGTTAATAGTGTTATTTCACAGTGATTATCACGTTGACATTGAAGAAAACACTAATTCAAACATAAACAAGAAAAATATTATCTTTAGTAAATTGCATGTGAAACTTACTCTCGGCTGTAAAGCATGACGTCGAAAAAAGGCTTTACATGACATACATGTCATTACTTCAAAATTCATTCCACGTGCTTTATCACCACATATTTGACAGATTAATGGTAAATTCCAACTACGTTTTGTTAATACCATTATTTTAATTATATTATCTATGTGAAGATATTATTCTAGTTCATTTATATCAAAATGTCGATGAAGTATGGAAATATCTGTTGCGTCTAATAATACAAGTAGGAGAAGAGAAACTTTTTTTTTGTCTTTTCTATTATATGAACTAAGATCTATTATGTAATTAGATCGAAAAATGACAACGGATGTCTAAAACAGTTTTATCTTAATGCTTGAAAGAATGCATTTTTAATATATTTAAATTTGAAAAAGAAAACGATAAGTGGTTTCTGCATAATTACATTTCTCATGATATTGAATACTTTAACAGACTTCTTTTTTGTTTTTCATATATGCGCTATCCGGGAGAGTTAACTATCAACTGAAAAATGCTTTATATGACGTAAACTATAAATATTATATTCAAGTCATTTATACATGTGACAAATTATTGTGAGTTTTTTTTGGAATATTAAAATTAATAGTTAGAACTATGTCGAGAGAAAGCTCGAGCTAATATTATATGTGTAAATAAAATAGTAGCATAAATAAAATATTAATACATTTCATTAAAGTAAAAATAAAAAGAATTTTTTTCAAACTAATATGTCACGAAAGGGTAATGCTTAAACCTCTATTATCTTCAAATTCTCGGATAAATTTCTTTTTACCTTGATGACTGCATCTTGATTAGATATTATATAGAAAAATAGATACGCACCTCATTACCTCTGATGTGCATAATTCAACCTTTCCTATACTACCCATTTATAGTTACTTAAGCCATCGTTGATTACGGTTGAGTAATATATACATTATATTTACACTAGAGAATACTGCGGCTATATCAAAGACGATTACTAAAAGCATTTTTTAACTTATATTCATTTTTCTGAATAAAATTCTTTGTATAAGTAAACTTATGTTGCTCAAAGTACTATTCATCTCCTGCATTAGAAAGAGAATGTCGCAGTTATATAAATACCTATTTTAATTAAAAAGTATTTGTAACTTCAACGGAAATGAATAAATATTAGCTCAATTGACTGAACTAAAAGTGTTACATGCCTAACTATTACTTATCAATGGTTGTGATAGAAAAAATAAAATGAAAAATTTTCTTAGCAAAATGATAACTTATGAAAAAGAGAAAATGAGAATAATTGTTTTTTAGTTAAGTTCAGTAATCAGGTTGAATATTTTACTTGATTTAGTTTTAATATGAAATGTCATACTCAGATAAACACAAGAAAGATCTCAAGGTTTTTTTATTTTCTCGATTAAAGAAAAGAAACACATTATCATAAATTTCTCAAGAATGAAAAAAATAACACTCAGTTCACTAAATGATTAAATTTAAGAATCATCGGCTGATTGATATGGGCACCTAAAAAATAAAACAAAAACACAAATATAGTTCAGTAAAAATTCTTAAATCATACCAAAAGAAAAACAATTTCCTCCGCCTCCTAATATAAGAAATGTTGTTTTATTCAAAATTACTGTTTGATGATTATAAAGTATAATTGGTTGTTCACCACACATTGTCTAAATAGTAAAGAAAAAAATAAAGTAAATATCGATTTACGTATAATTTACGTAGTTTATTACCGGTATTATATATTCAATAGCTTCACCAGTAATCAAATTAATTTTACATAAACCTGGTGGTCTACGTTCATTAGCATTCATTCCACCTAATAACCAAAGTGTATCATCAATAATGTCTGCACTATGTGAATATCTTAAAAATAAAAATAGAAATAAATGAAACATTATTTATTTTTTGAAACAATTGATTATATTTACCTTGGTATAACTGCTCCATTTGTTTGAAATAATGTCCAAATCATAACATCTTTAGATGTGTCTAATAACCAAATTTCATTCGTTGGTTCATCATATTCTAATAGACCACCAGAAAGAACTGCTAAATGTTTATAAGCATTCAAACGAGCTGAATGTCGATTTGTTGGTTTTGTTTGTGAAAACTGAATAAAATGTTTTAATATATACATATATTAATTTTTATGAGAACCTAAAGAAACTACTTGAGATGGTAGGATTTGACCATTTGATTGTAAACAAAGTGTATCATTTGTTGATTTTGACATATTTATATAACCACCAAATATAATGATTTTATCTGTTTCTTTTATATAACACGAACAATGACGCCAGCGTCGAAGTATTTTTTCATCTTCATTGAAATTTATAACTTGAAGAGCTAATTATAAAGAAAAAGACATAAATGCTAATTTAGTTTTGAAAAAAAAAACAAAGAAATCTTTATAATACAACTTACTGTTTATATCAATTGAAGCACATGAATTTAATGTTCCCGGACTTTTACGACCAAAAAATGATAATATTAAATTATCTGATCCATGACATGTATGAAAAACATATTCACCTATAATTTATGAAAATATATAACTATATTATTTAATCTTTTTATATAATATTAATCAATTAACGATAAACCATTATTGATCTATAATTGATACATTTTCCTTATCAAGCAAATGTGAATTCATTTATATTTATTAGTCTTTAGAATAAAATTTTTTATTGATGATATTCCCGAGAAACATAACTGACAAGAGAAATATTGCAACTGATGAGGTCGTGGCAAATTTTAAATTGTAACTAACTTTCACTAAATCCCTGACTGTCGGTTTCTGGTTTTTAACAGATACAACGTTTGATGATAAACAGAAAAGCAGAAATCGATGATTTACTTGTATACATAATTGAAAGGTGTCAACAAAGAAGCAGAAGTCAGAAATTTCCTGGTGTATACAAGTGAAAAATCGTCACCAGAAAAGCAGATGGCACAAATAAAAATCGAAAAATGTTATTTCGCTGATACATGTACTTGTCTAATTAATGTGACAGCGACTGTTTCTTCATCTCTAATAATATGCTCTTACAATTATCGTCAGCCTTAGCACGACCTTTACCCTCACACACATTCACATTCTTATTCTCTCCAGTGAGACAAGCAACGAAAAACAAAAACGTGTTATAAACACGTAAAAATGTATATTTTTCACGATTTTTCTTTTTCTTCAAGGGGCTGAATGTGTTTGATTTTTGATCTGAATAAATTGTTATAGAAAATAGCGCTATCTATAGTCTTAGCTTGCTGGATAAACAGTTTCGATAAGTTTATGAATAGGGTTATTTTATCTAACAACTAATTCAGTTCAAAAATCAAACGTCCAGTAACAAGTGAAACTGTACGATACAAACTATTCTGACTACAACAATGTCATATGACCAGCGCACGTTGTATGAAAGTGACATATATAACAATATCCGATAAATTTCAGATTCATTTTGATGTTTTATTGTATTTTTCAAATATTCCAAGCTGAAAGAACATCGAGAATAAATTTTGAAGGCTACATCGAAATGCAACCATCAAAATTTTATTCACTAAACTGTTATCATAAATCAAAAAGGAACATTATTGAATAGCACTTATTAGGTATTAAAATAACTTTAGCAAACTGATTTTACATAGTCGAATGCTAACTACAGATGATTTGAAATAAAGCATTTTCTTCTTAATGACGGCTGTTAAGTTCAATAGATTTTGAATTATTATATAAATGTTACTTTTTTTTATTATGTATTCTCAATCCCTGTGTCATTTTAGATATTGGAAAAATATTAAAAAAAAATCAAAGGAGCTAGAAATGTATAAAGTATCCACATATATAATCAAAACTTATTAATAATATCTAACTAATACTATTTGCTTCTACCTTATGAGATGATCGATAACGTTTAATCTCTTCATATTTATCTCTGTTGCCGATGTCAAAGTAAAATATTTCAATGAAAACACTAAAATTTAAAGACTGACCTATATCGAATTGGTCGTATGAGAATATTCATCTATCAATTATATCAGCTCTTAATAGGCTGTACAAAGAAAAAATGAAATAGTTTCAAAACAAAAACTGGTCATATTATATACTGAATAGAAATGAAAAAGAAAGAGTCGATGACTGATACAATAGACAGAGAAAAATTACACTATCATTTAACGAAAATATGATTGATTAGGCAAATCACTGAACCAAACGAGATAGTGAACTAAAATAGTGTAAAAGGATAAAAAAAATTAAACTAATAAATACTGAGAACAAAAAATGAAAATACACTTCAACGTGTTGATAAATAATCAGATAATTTAAATCAATTTCTGCGAATTTGAAAAGTTTTCTCAGAAAAACGATGAGTTCTAAAGTTAAGCTATTTTATACACTGAGTTATTCTAAAGAGGTGATGACTGATGAAAAACTAAAAATATTGTCAATATTAATGAGGCAAATAAAACCCATAAAAATACTTTCTTTTTTTTTTAAATTTCAATGTCTCTATACTGAATTTATATTTTTCATCGCTTGCCTACCTGAAAAATATTATTGTGAACATGTTTCATAACTCTTCTATGACTCGGAGTGATTGCAAAAAAAAGAGTACGTTACAGGTGATTGGTTGAAAATATGATATAATGAAGAATAAATGGATTCAGTGAGAAAATAGAAGTTGAAAAAGAAATAAGATTTTCTTGGTTTTGATGCGTAATCAATTTATTTATCTGGTCGGATCGAAATCTATAGATGCAGCAAGAATCATAAAGATTTTAGTATCATTTCAATAAATAGAAAAGTGATGAAACAGAGAAAACAAACAGGGCGTTATGCTTAAATCGGTCTTATTCTGTTATTCAGTCATGCATGATTGTTTCGAGTTATCAAGTGTTTTTTTATGTATACTCACTTTTTCTTCGTATTATTGTTAAGCTAATTTTTTTTGACTAATACTAAATACTAATATATAATATTCTAGATTTATTCTTTATGACATTTTGATCATACAATCTTCCGTATTTTGCGTAACTTATTCATGCCAAAATGAAAAATCCAAAAACTTTATTTATTCTATGAAAACTCGATCATAAACTACATCCACTAATGATTCTGGAGTTAAACTAATCTCAAGAGATGAATTCAGTGAAACCCATTGGATCGTTTAAAAAGAACGAAAAATAACAAATGGTCGTTGAATATAATAACAAGCAAACGAAAATCAAAAAACGTTCTGTACTTTGGCAGACGAACATATTTCGAACTTTACGTATCCTTTCGAGCGAGTATTTTGAATGGGATGTGATGTTCGGAACATGTTCGTCTGCCGAAGTACAGCACGTTCAGAACGTGCTTTAGCTTTCGTTTGCCTGTGGTGAACACGTTCTTTTGTAATGCCCCTCAAGCTGGGATCATTTTTCGACTAATGTCATTATTGTTAAATTTCGATAAGAGCTGTTTGATTTGACATGTAGCAATAACATCGGATCATATTGACTCTGACGTGTATTCTCCTTTTGCTCTTCTCTCATAACCATTATTGAATCAGATGGCTTAGATTAACATTCAACAACAGACGATGATGAGTCTTTGAAAGATATTTTATCAGTTATCACGAAAATTTGAATCGATTCACTGTTGTTAACTATTACAATAGACACAAATGCCTCTTTGGTTTACTCCCATGCTGTCAAAGTCGACTCAATTTTGATGATTAATCGTGATTTATTAGCGCCTTCGCAACAAACTTCAACAGTATGTATTCATTCATAAAGTTTTTCTTTTATTTAGGTCAATCTCAAGAGCAATATGAACAGTGAATATTATTTTACTAAAAAAAGCCTTGTTTTTTTATTAGGTACGGCACATGAGCGATGACGAAATCAACTCTCTCTCTTCATTTAATAGAAGAATTTCATAGGTATGAGGATATAGAACAGTTGTAATTCTAAAAACCGCACGAAAGATTATGGTTTTCTGTAAAAGTAAGAGAAAAATCGGTTTTTTAACTAATTTAATCGCAATAAAATCAAAACTTTTTGCGCAATTTTGATCACATGAGTTTATCATTCATTTTACTATACTCTAATGATTACAATACAGAGTAACTTATTGAACAGAAAAAAATCCTATTTTCACTAACTAGACTGAAATAGACAAGAACACTGTCCATGTGAAAAAACAGTGATACATTCCTTCATAAAAAAATGTTTCTATAAAAAGCTGTTTATCCCATTTAGTGTAGAATCGAGTGGATGGTGCTTCTCTAAAGATTCTCAGAGCTTGTGGTTTTTGCGCTGTATACTATGTGTTTGTACTCGCAATAATAGATGTTCACCCTCCGAAACTCTTAAACCTTTTCTTCGAGAGAGAACAACTTGGATAAAACACTGTTCCCATCTAAAGCACAATTATGATTTCTATTATGTGACTTTTTATTTTCTTTCTTGTTTATTAGTCTTACCAAGTAAATGGTTATCTAATCTTTGAATATCTCCATTATCAATATTTAATACTTCAATTGTTTTTAATCTTCTATGTCTGCCATCTACAGTACCAAAACCTCCAATAGTCCAAACATATTTTTCATTAATTAATATTGATTGATGTCCAAAACGTTGTGCATATGTCATAGTTGTTGGATAACTTTCGAATTGAATATTAACATTAATTTGTTCATCATTCAAATTATTATTATTATTTAGATTTTCTTTTTTTGAATAAATAATTGATTTAAAATCTTTATTCATTTGTTCAAACCATTGTTTTGCTATATTTGATGGTGTTTTTAAACCAAATAAAAGTATATAATGAGCACATTTTGATTGCCATTCTTCAATTTCATCAAACGGTTCTAATGTATCAATACGATTATGTTCATCAGTTGATAAATAATTTCGATCAAAATTATGCATATTCACACAAAGTGAAAAATCAAAACCCTTAAATAAAAAAAAGGACTTTAGTTTAATAATATTTTATTTTTTTATTATTCATTTTACTAAATGAGTATAACGTTGAACTTGAGATTCACTTGTTGGATATTGATGAATACATTTCAATGGTGAACCTAATTTAGCAAAATGTGCAACCATAACTTGACCAAAACCATCATCTGGTAATACCTATGAATTAATATTAGATTAGATTGAAAAAAGAAATTATTTATTTTAAAAATAAAAATCAAATACTTGTTCATAAGTACATAAAATACATTCTTGAAAAAAATCAAGTATCCATTGTATAACACGATTACAACTTGATCGACCCATATATGTTAAAACAACTTCACTTATTAATAAAGTTGGTTTTGTTTCATCAACTTTAACTGTTTGTAAAAGTGTATTTAAAGTTAAAGAATCTCGCATATCAACACCGATTAATGAATATTTTTCATTTGTTACAGCTGAAATGAAAGAAAAAGTTATTAGTACAGTTCCTGCTGAATCAATATGTAAAACACGATGTAGCTGCTGTTGTTAGTCACAAGGAAATTATTTTTTTCTATCTATTCTCAAATCTAAAATTCAATTCCACTGAAATTCAGACGAATCTAAGCCTTGAATTTTGCTGGAATTGAATTCGGTGCATCCCTAATGCAATCGGAAAGTTTTTCATGCATGAAAATAAGACGATATTCAACAATGGCTATTGATCGTCTATCATGGTCTGTGATGGAAAGAGGTAGAGCCCGTCAAGTCCAAAATTTTCGGACTCAGAGTCGGTTGAATCGGACTTGGATATTCTCAATAAAATTTTCTGATTCGAATTAAACAGTTTCTCCTCAGATTCGAGATATTTTTGGCTAGAGCTCGATAGATACAAATTTTTCGGACCCGTTTGGCTCTAGAGAGTGAAGCGTTGCTAAGGCATCTTCCATGATCTATGGCGTTTCCATGGCAATGTGTATCATGATCTGTGGAAAGTGCAAATATCTACCGAAGTACTTCAACACTCGTTTTAGACAGTGTCGCACAAAAAAGAACTTATTAAACATGGGTCTTTGTTTAATTACCAAAGTTTTCTAATGAACTATATGTATGAATTGGTTCAAATTGTTCATTCAAACGAGAACGAACTTCTATCAGTGCTAATTTACGTTGGATGACTTCAGGAAAATCAATCTAGATATAGAAAATTCAGTAAACATTTTTGATATTAAATATATTTACGTCAATAAAATGTGTTCGCTGTTTTCGTTCTTCATCTAATCGAAACCAAGTTGCATCAAATCCAGCACCTAAATTAACAATCTACATCGAAAAATATGAGTACAGACGAATAATTTAAGTTTTGTCAAAAATCACGAAGATTTATTTTACTTTCTGATAGTTTTATATTGTATACTAAAAGAATAATAGTAATGAGCACTTTGACAAAAGGTTCGTTGATTTTTCAGTCTATTAAAGAAGCCTGCAGATATTTGAAGACATGAGGTTAGAATCGAAATTTTTATATTCTTTTTTGAATATGCCTTCAGAGTTTTTTATAGGACTTCTGATTTACGAGTTATGAGTCGAACTTTTTGAGATCCGTAAATTTGAGTTTGGACGAGCTTCAGCGCGCCAAAACTAACTCAAAGTAGTGCTAATGCTTAGTTTGCTGCAGAGATGGGCAAGTCAGCTATTTTTTCACTCAAGTCAAGTCAAGTCAAGTCAAGTCATTTGTCAAAGAGAGTCAAGTCAAGTCAAGTCAAGTCATTTGTCAAAGAGAGTCAAGTCAAGTCAAGTCAAGTCATTGCTCAAAAAAAAAAATATCTTTAAGTCAAGTCAAGTCAAGTCATCAATTTGAGATACGCCATTGCAAGTCAAGTCAAGTCAAGTCTGTGTTCTAACCAAGTCAAGTCAAGTCAAGTCTCAAGTCATTGACTTGAATTTTTTTTTAAATTTCATAATTTAGTTATGTATTAATTTATTGAGAAAAAAATTAAATCAATTCAGTTGTAATACAAGTTGTAATTGATCTAACCAGTTTAACACAATAGGTCACGTATGATGCACACTCAGCCGTATTATTGCTTATATACTTGCGAGTGTCGATGTCAGATAGTTTCTTTTGTGAGATCAAACAGACTAGACGAATAAACAATGAATTGAGAATTCACTGTTTATTCGTCTAGTCTGTTTAGGACCTTATTTTATACGCACAGGTCAAATATAACCTGACGAGAATCTAATATGCATTGAAGTTGCAAAGAATATCTGACTTGACTTGTATTTTTTTGTCAAGTCACAAGTCAAGTCAAGTCAAAAAATGAAAAATCAAAGTCAAGTCACGTCAAGTCGCAAGTCATTAAAAAAACCTTTCAAGTCAAGTCAAAGTCAAGTCGCAAGTCATTAAAAAAATTTTCAAGTCAAGTCAAGCAAGTCAAAAATGACTTGACTTGACTTTGACTTAAGTCATTTTTGACTTGACTTGCCCATCTCTGGTTTGCTGCAAGTTATTTGTCAATATTGTGCCATTTTAGTAAACTACACTGTGCCGATTTAAGCAATATAGAGAATAATTTGGAGTTGAAATTCTAAGCAAAAATAATCCGATAATATTAAGGTTGCGGTAAAGGAGATTATTGTTGCAAAAAAAGCATTAGTTTTCGTGCCTCTAAAACTTCAACTCATAACTTCTAAACCATATATCCTAGAGAAATGCTAGACCTATATTCGGAAACAATATCTGTGATTTCAAATATCTCCAGTCTTCTTTAAGTGGCCGAAAAATGAATAAACATTTTATCGGAGTGCTATTTCAATAATTCATTCTGTCGATTTTTTTTAAAATTCTATAAAAGAAATTCTTTCAGAAATATTTCCATTATCTGTCTGTGAAGATTTCTCTCAAATAGATCAGAATGAAATTCAAGCGATACAAAATTAAAATGTCAATTAAACAGTAAACCGATATTCACAGATGATCAGACTGTTGAAGATGTAGAAAAAGAACTTTTATCTCACAATGAAAGTTTTTTACTGTTAGAACAGAACATTAGAAATATTCACGTCAACTTAAAGTTTTTAGTATCGAACTAACTAAGTTCAAATATGAATCGCTCTTGATATGTACCTAGCTACATAGTGAAGGTTTTATGAATTTATACTATATGCAAGATATCCACAAGTAGTAGCGTAGCTAAGGGTAGCCTAGGCTCGGTGAAGCCTTACCCCTAGAAGACAAAAAAAATGTAGTAATTACCAACAATATATTGCATGTATTTTCCTCAAGATTGTAGTGCACTGTCCTATTCTCTACGATTTTCTGGTTAAGTCACTACCTAAAAATCAAATTATTGACAATATTTATTTTTCTTTTTATAAAATTTTGTGAAATTTTCTTTTTAAGTCTGAAACACACATTTTTTTATGCAAATCGATGAGGTCTATCTAATCATTATGAAAAGTATAATTATGTTGAAATTTTGACTTGTGGGTAGTGACGTGACCAGAAACTCGTGAGTGGTAGGACAGTGTTCTACGAGCTTGAGACTAGTCTACCCTTAGCGACGCCACTACTTATGAGTATCTTACATATACTGGAAATACCTAAAAAATTCATTATGTCGTTCGATGCCCGCGATGAGCAGCATATGTTTTAAATTGATTACGTTGACCTGGAAATGCCTTATGTTTTTTACTAAAAGTGCAAAACTTTCTATTGTCAGTTATGCGTAAATTTACACTGTCATGAACTCTTTCATTTCAATACATTAACAGAACTTCTTTCGAATATCAACAATGTCCGTTAACAAACAACATATTATTCCATTCACTTCAGAAATTTCACTGTAGAAAAGTGCAAAAGCATCATCCATAAAGGACATAGAAGTAAAGAACGAAGGACATCAAACATTTCTGGATGTTCTGATACTGACTATCAATATTTTCCTTATTTTTCACATAACTTTCGGCAAAATTTTCAAATTTACTATGTTTTTAAAGAGCACTTTACAATAGAAAATCAATCAGTTGAACATGAAGAATATGAGATTTTCGAGTGTCAGTGATGTTGGACTTCATTTTTTTTTGTTTTTATTATTTTCTGCTCATTAAAATTAAATGTATATGAATGGCAAAAACTTTTGCAATAGATTAGACTTTTATTTGTTGTTTATGAAATGTGTTTTTATTCCTATCTATTTTTGATATAGTTAATGAACTATAAAGAATAAGCAGACTTTTTCAGAAAGTTGCTTTTTTTGTACTGGACATTAAAGTTCGTTCATTGATCCGCTATATGGATGACTCCTTATTATTTTTCTTGAAAAACCATTATTGGTTTACTTTCAAAGACTTACCTGTACTTCTTTCTGATCATAAACAGTATAAAACATATTTAACGCATATTCTAATGCTTTCATTCTAATATAATAACCCCTAAAAATAAAAAGATAAGACAAACAAAAAATAAAGAATAAATCATTTTTCATTACAAACCGATTTATTGATGGGGAACGTCTCACATCTTTATCAACAAATTCTCGAAGAAATAAATCATTAAAATATCCAAGTTTAACCATCGATACTTTAGATAAAATACTCGAGTCATTGGTACCTTGAACCTTGAGAAAAAAAAGAAAAAAAGAATAACATTAGTTTTTGTATTCGTCGACCCATTGAGTATGCGACATATGTTTAAAAAAATCAATTAAAACAAAACTTACAGCTACATCATTTCTTGCTTTTCGACTTTTTCTTTGATTAATACGAAAAGCTTCTTCCATCTAGAAAAACGAGAAAGAAAAAAAATCCAAATACACTTGACGACGATGATGATGAAAAGAAAACAATCAAATAGGAGAATAGCAAACTGCACAAACGAAACATTCACGTGTTTTCTTTTTACACAAGAATAATAAATAAAACAAAAAGACAAAAGAAGATATATGTTTCTCTCTATGTGTACACCATAAATAATAATAATAATAAAATAAAACCTAATTTAGACTAGAGTACCAATATATAGATATATATATATATGTAATATGAATATGTCGTTGCAGTTGAACCAAAGTAAATAGCAATGTTTTATTGTATTCACTTATACTTTTTGACGTTTGCGATGTACAACGGAAGCTGTTGTTGAATCAACAGACTTATCACTTTCAGTAATACGTATACGAACTAGTGCAATTTCTTGTCCATTCATTGTTTCCATAGCAGTATCAGCACTACGTTCATCACTGTACATAACATAACATAATTGTGAATTTATTGTACGAATATCTATTAAATTTCCAAATCGATTAAATATATCACGAATAAAATCTTCTGATATAGGACGTTGAGGCATAATGTGTAAAGTTTTGGCAACCTAAGATAAATTTATTATTTTTAGTATTTCTATATTCAAAAATATGTAATGAAATATATGATTATAAAGATTATTAAAGAAGTTCTTATGTAATTTTCTATCTAATTTCCTTAACAATAACATCGATGATTCATCTTTTTTCATACAAAAGTTTTTGACGATGATGTATAGTCATCATTATTTTCTATCTTTTGATTGATCTTTTTATTGTTTGAAACTTATAACTGAAATCTTCTAACTGATTAATCGTTTTTCAATCGAGATTCTATGCACAATTTAAATCCTAATGAACTATGAATATCTTGGAAAAAGTTTGGGACCCTTAGTTTATTATTGTGGAGATCTCATATTTTGACAGTGTTTTATGAAGTCAATGCTATGGTCTCTTTTAGAAATATTTCGATTTCCAACTTTGTGCAGAGACAAACCTTAACAAGAATAGTTTATTATGAAAATTTCGTGTGTTTTCTTGTTTCCCGAAATAAGAACATCAAATCTGTCAGTGTATAGGAATAACGGAATAATATGAAACTTTCACAATAAACTATTCTCACTAAGTTCTGTCTCTATGAAAAGTATCAAGTTGAAATCGAAAATAAATTTTCCTAATGTTTCTAAGAAGCCCGCAGCATCGAGTTAAAAAATACCTTTTTTTTTGTTGTACCTTTGTAGTAATAAACTCAATCAGTTGGAGGGCTTCCTTCCTAAAGAAAAAAATATTTTCGAAACATAATTCAAATTAACAATTTGATCGATCCATATTATTGTCTGTGGAATGATATAATTGTCATGGCTAGTTTTTGAAATAATTTTTGCTAGCAAGAAGATAAAGATTTGCAAATTGTCATCATTTAAATGGGGACATTGAGGTCACAGAAGCATGTCAGTTTTAATTGGTTAACCGATATTAACAAATTAGATGAAAAATTCATGAATATTTTGACATGAACTATAGTGAATGTCTTCTTCATTCAATTTTTGGTTTTGACATGACCATTCGGTAGAAAACAAATTGTGCTTGTTCGAGCTTACTAAAGCCGACATCTTAATCTTGTTTCGTTCAAGAACCATAAAAGTCTTTCTGAGACACCTGATTTTGACCAATAAACTTGTTTATCATCCGAAATATTGATTTGAAGTGGTGTAATTTACTATGATGAATCTAGTAGTAATGTTTGTTTCTAATTTCAAAACAGTTTGAGAGCATTTTTAAGATTTTTCAAATTCTGAATTTTCTTGATATATAGTAAAAACGGCAGACATTTCAGAAAATTTGATGTAATGATTGTAAATCATTTTGAAACTAAAAAACAAACATTACCACTAGATGCAGTGGGGTAGTTATTTGTCTTCAAGTCAATATTCCAGATAATGCTAGATCAAGTGGTCAATATCAGTAGTCTCAGCAAAACTTTTATAATTCGTAAACGAATTTACATAGAGATATCGGCTTTGTGTAAATGGAATGAACACAATTTTTTCTACGAAACGATCATATGAATATTGAACACCAAATGAAGAATGTATTCAGAACGCTTCATGTCAAAGTGTCTAGAAAGATTTCATTTGATTGGTGAATCACTAAAGCAATCGGCCTCGGCATGCTTCTGCGGCTTCCCAGCGCCCTCTTTTAAATGAGAACAAATCGCAGATCTCTATCTTCTTCCTAGCAAAAGTTATTCAAAAACACAATTGCACAGTCATTAGATTATTAGACAGGCAGCTACTGTGTGCATTTCAGAGTAGCACAGTAAAACTTTTACTATTGAACTCCTTCTAATTAAGAACGATCCCGAGTCTCACAGAGCGATTTTTGTTGTAAATACCCTTCTCAGGTGTACGCGTCATTAATTTGGGTCGCGAACAGTTTTTTGCAGTTGTATTAACTATTATAACCCTCTAATATAAATATATTTTTCGCTGTCTTTCCCCTTTTTGCCACGTATTCTATATGCACTAAAAATACGTACATTTTGTGTATAATTTAACTGGTGTGCGTGCAAAGTACAGAATAATGTCACGATGCACGTTTACTTTGCAAGGATAAATACTATTGGTTTATGATAATACAGATCGTAATCGTTTATCGTAACCTTAATCAATTGAAGAATATAATATATCACAAGTAGAGGTATCAATGTACAAAAAAAAAACTTAATTCAAAAAGAAAAAGACAAATAACATTAGAAAATTCATTTTCAAAGCAATTAAATTATGTGTTGTAGTTGAAAAAAAGTCATTCAGATGAAAATCGAATAAATAATCAGACTTTTATTTATCACTAATATAAAAGCGAATTTTCTCGATCGTTTTCATCATTTCACAACAAACCATGCTTCAATTCTCTAAATTAAATACTTTGAAATGGTTCCGATGGTGTTCACAATAAAGACATTTTACTGTATACCAATGTTACCGTGACCCGATCCAAAATGAAACAATACTTTTATGATGATCCTTTCTCAACGAACTAAAAAAATGGACTCATTTTTTAAAAATAAATCAAAGAACAAAATTTCAAAGTCTACAATGATTTATAAGGTTGAAAAAAAAAACTAAAGACAAGTGATAAATTTCGTTCTCAAGGTTATTGAATCTATTGTTTAGAAATAATAAGTTTATGTTAACTTACTGGCGCATCAAATGAAGCATATTTTTGTTTCGGTGGTAGTGGAACATTACAGTAATCTACATATTCTTCTTGACTTCCTTGTAAATTACTCATCTTAAAAGAAAATAAATATATTTTTTTAATGAAGAAAAACAAAGACTATTTCGAAAAATACTTGATGAATTAATTGACCAATTCCTGATGTATCTCCATATTTTCCATTTTGTGATTGATTTATTAGATCATTAACAATTCTAAAAAATATTATTATTAAGAAAAGAAATAATCCAATAATTTCATAGATAATTTGGGTTTTTTTTTCTCATTACTTGTCATCATAATATTGTACTGATAAAATTTCACCATCAGGAAATTGAAATGCATGCAGCTTTTCACGTGCATATGTTGCAAATTGACAAGACTTATAACATACAATAAAATAATCTACGAAAAAAAAAAATAATGTAAATATTTTTTGTTATTAGGCTGACTCTATGTAGACTAGACAAAACCTTAAAGAACTGGTATTCATGGGTCTTTCTTTTTCAACTAAGTCTATTTTGATGAATCTTTCAACGAAATGTTGTGATTCTTCTTAGGTAATCTTCAACAATTGAGTTTCGTAGAATAGAAAATTCAACATTTGTATTTAACGATAGGAATTACTTTAACATTGAGTCTTAATTTGTGTAAAGTTTGAACTCCGAACTCGTTTTTTAAAGTCTGTTAAACTTGACGCAATTGACTCTTTTTTTTATATAGTTCGACAATGTTAATGCGTTTGAGCCGCAGAATTCAAAGTGACCTCAATTATAAGATAAACTTTTATAACGACGCAAAATTTATTATTAGTAAAATATATCCTGAAGCTGTTTTATTCTCGGTTAATTCATATTCTTTCTAATAAATAATTCGAATTTAAATAGAAAACATTATGTCTAATCATTTATATCTGAAACTGGAAGTTGCAAGAACTATTGCCGACTCTTACGATTACCACTGTGCACCATCAGTGGTGCGAACAAATGTGCAACATGTGTAATCTAAAGACAGTCATCACACTTTCTTGAAAAAACTTACTAAAATGATTAGAACTCAAGAACATTGAAGACGACTATTTTTAGAATTTTCTTTTTTTCTTCTAATAGCACCTACTTCATAAAACAAATTTAATTTTCAAAGTAATTTTTCACTTTGTTGCGGTGTTCTCGTGAATATGACCTTGTCTTTTTTCCTTCTGCTATCTTTCTCTTTTATATAATAAAAAGTAATCTATGAATATTCTTTCACAATATGACGAACAATAATTTGCTCCTTTGAATAAATTACTATACGCGATTATATACATGTGGCGCATCTAGAAATGGTCACAACGCCCTAGTTTTTGAAATAATGAACACAAGCAGAGAGAGTGCGTCAGAGAAAGCAAAATATTGTAAAATCTTATCTGCAAGAGATAGAGTGTGCATATAAGTAGATAGATTAATGATAAATTTATGAATGTTGCTTTCCTACTGGTTACTCACGTCACAATTATTCTCGAATGCCAGTGCTTACAAATTGATTAACAAGAATAAAAAGCGAGAGTTAAATAGATCAAAGTACAAAAGAACTACCAATGAAATACGATACATTACCGTACTGACATCTCACTTTTCTTCTAGCAGTATATAACACTTGTGAAATTTGTACTCAATAGTTTTGTAAAAGTTATATTTAATTTTAAAAATGAAAGAACACATAATTCGTGAAATAATACAAATAAATTTGTATCGAATTTCACTAAGGTTTTAAAGACTTCCATCAAAATAATGAAAACACTTGACATAAACGAAAAATGGACTTCTCTATAGTCTACTTGAAATCGTTAACAATTATAAATATAAAACTTGTTGAAAACTTCATTACGTTGAACATTACTGAAGACTGACTATGAAATAAATATAATGTGAACATGACATTCTTCTTTCTTGTTAGAAAATATTCTACATCTATTTTAAGAAAGTAAATTAAATATAAAATAGAATGCGTCATAACCATGTTGATATAGCCTTATGGTAATAGATCGCAAAATATCAGGAAATTAGTATTGCTGTGAGGTCTGTAGGTGGATTTATTTTTAAGCATTTGAAAATCATATAAAACAATTGCAATAAAATCATAAAATATATTTTAATATTATACAATAAATTTCAAGTTCAACAGTATAATAAAAGATTTTTCATAGAGAAAATTAAATTTTTGAAAACATGATTTTATTATAAAAATACTTTTCGATAAAATAATGAAAAAAGTACAAAGCTTTCTACCGATAAACAATTGAAAATAAGACAATGATTCGAATAATTCTAGAAATTCATGAATAGATTTTTCTACTAACAAGTGAAATTCTCGAACTGATAAATCGATTTTTAGTCAAGACTATGTGCATAATGTAGATCAACATGAATTGTAAATATTCTGAAAAAATCTCCTATTCTTAGTTTACTGCTACAGAGAGAACTCATTTTTACGGTCATTTTTAAAATGAATGCTGTGATTCACCTTAAGAAAACTAGAAGAACTAATTTCCAAATTTGGACTCGAAGCTTTGCTTAGAGATAGACCTTAGTGAAAATAGCTTATTGTCGATGCTTTAGACCTTACTTCTATTCCTATCCGAAGATATAACTACAGTAATAGTCGGTCTTTTATATCAATCATATAAACTGGCAGATTTGAAGTTCTATTTTTAGAATAGAAGTTAAACAAAAGACCGAAAACTTTCATAATAAACCAATCTTGTTAAGGCATGCTTCTATGTAAAGTTTCACATGGAAATTAAGCTTTTTTGATATTCATGAGAAAGACCACAGCTGGAAAGCTATGAGTTCGGGTCTGGTCCATAGAAACATGGACGCATAGCTCTCTTTAAATAAATCTGGATCAGTAATAAAAATTGTTTATGCATGGTTTTTAAAATCGATATCACTAATTGTTTTGAATGATCGACAAATGAAGTGCTATGAGTTCAATATAAGGAAATGTTATTTCGTGCTTAACTTCGCTCATTTTTTTGAAAATATATGAAAACTAATTGATATTTGTTTGAGCATTGGATACTGTCGTTTTTTTTCTTTATTTTAATAACTAAGTATATGTTTAGATAGTGAATTACAGTTTTAATTATTCATTTTCTTTTCTTTTTTTTTTTTATTAAATAATTTTCTTTTCAATAAAACGAAAACTTTTAATTTATTAATCATCGAGTCATGAAAAGGTGAAATCGCAGTACATGAATTGTTTTTTTCTGACAATCATCAATAAATAGCTAAAACCTTGATTCTTCACTTGTTCATGTGCACAGAAGAGACTCAAATCTAAATTTGGCCGAATCCAATTTCACAAAAATGTCAATTTGTATGAAGACTTCTCCTAATAAGACATACTCTCTTTGTTTATGTATTTTCCTAAAGAGATAAATAGGAATTAATTTTATTCATAACTTACGTTCATTAAATGTGTTTATATTAAGTGGTGAGCATTCTTCCATATTTGGTATAAGATCAAATAATTTTGATATATGATATTTAGTTATTGTCATTCCACAACGTACAATTAAACGACGTTCATTATTAATCTCTAGTAAATGATAACTATTACTCACTGGTGAAAGTGTTAGTGGTTGATCTAAATATATAAAACATCAAATAATTAAAATTTTGAATTTAATCAAATAAAACAAACTTGATTCAATATTTGATAATGAACGTGTTGTTGGTAATGGAAGTAAAGGAGGTGGTGATGGTCGATGATCATTTGAAATTGATGATGGTGATAAATGTTGTTTACTAGATGAGATTTTTTGACGATACGGAGGTGAAATAGTTCCATAAATTGAAGCTGATGATGGTAATGTATCTTCATTATCATGATGACGTTTTGATGAAAATGGTTCAGCAAATTTTGGTTTATAACCTATGAAATTATTAATTCAAATTTTTATGTATTATTTTTTTTTTACAATCTGTATTTACTAACTTTGATCACATTCTTCAAGAGCATAAGCTGCTTCAGATGCTTTTGAAAATGATATATAAGCAAAACCTTTATTTTCACCTGTTAATTTATCTCGAATAACTTTTATATTAATTATTGAACCATATTTCTAAATTAAAAATATTATTATCATTTTTTTTTTTGTCTTTTATAATTCAAATTAATAATTACTTGAAAAACTTTACGTAAATCATCTTTTGTCATATGTTTTGGTATAACAACAAATAAACGTAACATTTTTTCATGTTCATCTGGATCACGTACACTACCTTCACGACGTGTACTTGATATAATAGCCTATTTAGTATATAAATAATAATAAAATATACTGAAAAAAAAAATGAAAAAAATCACAAACTTTTAATGGACGAGTATGTGGTGCAATAACTGTTCCATTCATTTCTTCCATAGCACGAGCTGCTGCTGAAGCTTTTTCATATTTAATATATGCAATACCTAATAGATATTAATTTGATTTAAATAAATAATATTTGAAATTTGAATATATAACCTTTGCTTTCTTGACTACGTCGATCTCGTACCATATAAATATCTTGAATATGACCATGAATTTGAAATGCATTTCGTAATTCATCTTCAGACATAGCTTTTGGTATTAATAAAAAAAGTCTACTAAATGGTGGATCATCAACATCAGCTGTTTTATTAAATAATGTTGATAGTTGATGACGTTTTTTATATGATGATGATGATATTGATTTATTTGATGAACCACTTTGATCTTCTGATGAAACATCTCGGCTTCGGTTCCGATTGTTCATCATGAATTTAATTGTTTTCGTGTCTACATATAGTATGGATAACTACAATCAATTGATCAATTTTTTGTTCGACTATATTAACTACCTATTAAAGATTTTTATTTAGAAGATGGCGCTACTACTCATACTTTTGGTTAACATAATTCTTTATTAATAATATTCTCTTCTGCTATATTGAATTATGTTTCTAAGTTCTCGATCTTCGATATATTGTATTAGCAATAAGAACTTTTATGTTGAATTATATTCATCACGTTCTTCTATCCGCATAATCATTGCCTGTTTCTGTTGTGATATTTGAAACCATACTTATTAAAATTAATTTACTATGTATTCAAAGAACTGTATGAACACTTAAAAAAAATTTCTGAATTTAATGAGGAAAGTTTCCTAACTGAGCAATCACTTTTTAGTCGAGACTATGTATATTATGCAGATCCTAATGAGTCATGATCATTCTGAGACGAGCTCGGACTGAAGATATTGCATTTTTACGATTATTTTTAAGTCAATGGCGAGGTTTCTCTCAGGAACACCAGAAGTCATTTTCGAATTTCAATATGAAGCTTTTTATAAGAAGTGAACTTAAGAAAAATAGTTTATTGTAAAAGTCTTAGAACATTTTATTGTTTCTAGCCTAAGATACAGTTATGATAAAAACTTCATAGACACTGGCAGATTTGGTGTTCGCGTTTTAGAAAAGGAGCAAATCAGAAGACATGAAAACAACATTAATTTAAAAAAATAGTATAAAAATGCCGCATCTCAGTAGCAATAAGCTGATGACCAGGACTTTTGTCAGGATATTCATAGCTCATTAAGGTCTACATAATGCACATTGTCCAAACTTCAAAGGCAATCAATCAGTTGAAGGATTTCCCACGTTAGAAATAAAAATCAAATCAGAAAAATTATTGCTAGAACTGAAAAAAACGCTGATTTTGTCGATTTATTTTGATATCAAAGACTTTAATGAATAGAACGAACGTTGCAATTCGAGATATGCGGGATCAGAAGTACGAGAAAAATATATTTGTTGGAATTAGAAGTCAAGTATGGTTTCAGTTATATTATAAATCATATGAATCAGGACATAATCCAAGCGAGATGACTCAATAAAGTGCTAGTCGTCATCTAAATAGATACCAAAACGATTATTGAAGAAATTTTTTAAATTGTGATGCAAGTAAAATCTGGAATATTTTTCTGTAGACCGAGACCCGAAGGCAATATTTTAACCAAATTTTATCTTCGGGAGGGGTGATTCAAACTTTCGTGGGAGCGAACATATGTCTTTGAGAGTACAGACACATTTTACGTAGTATAATAATCACAAACTTTGGGAGGATCAACTCGCTTTTCGAAGCTCAACCCTCAAGTTGAACAAAATAGTGATACCATCTCAATGTAAATCTTTGTTTTACATTATAAAACAGTTTCTAATTTTTATTTCATAGGAACTCGACACAAATCTTTGCAATTTTATTTGTTTAAATATGTAAAATAATCCAGACAAAAATTTGTTTCTCTTATAAAAAAGAAAACTCAAGTATACCATGTGGTATACGGTTTTGTTGGTTTAAAGTGTCGTTGAAAATATGTTGCTGTCCAACCAATTTCACCTGGATATGCAGCACGACGAACTGGTGGATCTATAGCATATCCTCTTTAATTCAAATAAAAAAGAAACACGAGCATTTTCAAATAAATATTTCTTAAAAATTGCTTACCTTGTTAAATAACCGAGATCAAGTGAACGAAGTGTCGATGCTTGACCTTCACCAATATCTCCAATAAGATCTTGTAATTGACAACGTTGATCCCATAAAGCATTAGGACCTGTGAATTCAAAAATTTATTGATTATACTAATAACAACGCTAATATTATTCTACCTGAAAAAATTGTATTAGTTGGTCGAGGTCGATCAAAAAAGAGATCAGAAGACGTTCGTTTAAGCGGTCTTCCTCCCCAAAAATCAAATGTCCGAGCTACTCGTGTTTGTTGATGATTTTGTTGCTGTTTCGACATTTGAATATTTCTTGTTTTACTCGATGTTTCAATCACTTCTACACTTTCGATAAGTGTTGTTTTGAAAACAATACAACTCTATTCTTTCTTTTTTTTATGTTATTTCTTTCAAAACATAAATGTAACGATTTCAATTACCACTAACAACATATTTTGTTTTGGTTGCATGTTAGGTATTTTTTGTTTTGTTACAAAACATTTATTGAAAAGTATAACGACAATAATTATGATTATTATTATTAACGTATTAATGATTTCTTTATTTTAATAATTGTTCATAAAAATTTTTCAAAAAAATTCTTTATAAGACCATGTAAATATCTGTTGTGTTTCTCTTATTTAAATCAAACTTCAAGCATATAATAAAGAAAAAATTGATTAAATAAATTGAAATTAAAAGTTTTGCTTTTCTTTTTTTTTTACTTCTTGGTTAAACAAATGGTTCAATGTTTAATTCAAGAATAGAACAAGGGGATTTTAAACCAAAATGTTCAATAACATTTGGATGAAGAACACCAATAGCATCAAGATTTTTACCATAGACAATTATTTCAGCATGTTGATCAGGAAAAAATACACTATCTAGAAAAAGAAAAAGAAAATTTCATCATGTTTTCTCCCTTCTTCTTTCTTTTACTATACTTTCATATTGATTATTTAAATAATCGTCTATATCATTCGTTTTATTTTCATTATATGAAACTTTAACTAATGTCATAATTCGATCAAGTAAACCATGAATTATTTCAAAGCCTGGTGTATGATTATAATAGATCTCACATAAACAGCGTTCATATCGACTACCAGTTTTCTATTAATCAAAACAAGAACAAATTTATATGTTTTTTTCTTTTTAATTTTATTAAGTAAAACAAACCTTGTGACGCATCTTTAAGAATAACATCCAATACTTCGAAAAGTTGAATTGGTAATGCAGTACCTTGGTTACTTGCAAGAGTTTTTAATAAGCCAGGTAAAAGTGATGTTCGACCAATCTAAAATTGATTGTTGAGTATTTTTTAAATTAATATGTTATTGTAAAGGAAAATCGACATTCTCGACTGTGTTTCATCCAGGAAACATGACAGCAGAGATTTTCCTTTTGAAATTCACTCTTTCCTTTTCGTATGATATTTAAAGAAGAGGAAAGAATGCACAAAATAAACAATTTTTCTTTGATAAATACCTCTAAATCATATATAGTAGCGCTCGAAATTGACCATATACTTAACTAATGCTCTTGTTTTTCTGATATTTCAAGATAGTTTCAATATACCGAGTGGCGGCTTTTGCCAAAAATGACCCCAATTTTCATAGTTTATCTGCTAAATCTATTCACTCTCTATATCATATTTTTGCTGTACTAGACTCGAGATACGAAAAATGATGTCTTTTGATTTTGTTCGAAAAATTAATCATGTACCACAAACAAAAAATATATTCAAAATCTATTTTCATTGGAAAATCTTACTTGAAACTCTTATGCTTTTGGATTTGCAATATGTACTGCTGGAATGTCTTGAATACTTTTTCCAAATTTCTCTGCCACATCTGAACATGAACATAATGTAAATGTCAATGCTTCTATAAAACCCACATTCAACAACTGAATGTCGTATAAGATCCGATACTCGATTAAGTTCAAACTAAAATAATAGAAAGAAAAAAGAAACGAAAAAGTCATTTTTAAAAATTAACGAAATATTTTTTCTTCTTACTTGATTTCCAATACAACTAGTTTTTGGAACTGTTTTTTCCTATATTATTAAATCCATAGGCTACTGCAAAATCTTCTGCTATGTCACAAAAATGTAAAATATCGGCTCTTGTCACTGGTATATCAACATGAAGTATCTGAATCAAGAACTTTCGTTCGAAGACTCATTCGATTTAAAAGCTTTGCTGCCATTTGAGCATCTGCTCTAGAATAATAAAATATATTTCATTTTTAATTTAATTTATTTTATAAATTTGAATATACTCTATTCGAATGCGTTGATTCATCTTTTTTTCTACTGATACATTTTGAGATCGATCGCTTAAATTCTAATATTTATTAATATTATCAGTCAACAAATAAAATACAAGATATTCCAAAAGTTATCATCACTTAATAGATACAGGTAATCCTGCTATTTTATAAAGGCCCATTCCAAAAAAGTCAATTTTTGTCAATAATATGAAAACTGAGATAAATGCATTGAACAATACTCGAAGGTCTAACTTTGCCTGAATGGCATGATTTCTTTTATTTGTTCCTTCGTTTATTCCAAAAATTTCTATCATTTTTTGCATGAAAAAAATGTGATTTTTTTCTTTGTTTATCTCTTTCTGATTGCGCATCCAGGCATCCGCGAAGAATCTACATTGTGGTGAATAGCGTCTTTTTTGTTTGAAAGAGCGTGTCAAGAAGCAAGGCATGACAGAGTCTCTTTTTGAATTAGACACTGTTACTATTATATAAAATAGAACTTTTATAATTAGAGCGCTAGTTTTTTGAATCATTGAACTAAAAAAATTAAGTGTATAGGATGAAAGCCCACACAAAATTTTTGGTTGCCAAATAAGCTATATTTTACCATTGTTGTTAAAATATCTCACGAAAACGTCATGGCATAGAGCTAAAAATTTTACCAGTCTCTTTACGGCAACCTTAGCATGTTGTGAAAACTTCATGCGATTTTAATATAGATAATCCAAGATTGATTTTTGCGAACATGACGGGGTATAATGTACATCAAGGTGAACATTTGACTAAACAGGATTTCCTTCGTGCATTGTTCACTGAAAAAGTTTTTTTCTTAAAAGTGCTTTTCTGCGCCATATTCCATCATTTCTAAGCATGAAAGTAACATGCCCATCCGTCACGCAAAAAGGTGTACTGTGAAAGCGACGAGGGGAGGGAACGAAATGGCTTAAGAGATCATAACTTTTGAGATATTGTATTCAACATACAGGATATATTTTCATAGTTCCGTCCACTTGTTCAACTTCAACCGGTTCAATTCTATATAAAAATCGATATAAAATAATTTTTTTTTCAAACACTTAACTTAAATAGTTACTCAAATGTCTTATCACACTATTGAGCAAACATAGTTACCATGATATTAAGTACGATATTTGCTTTATATATATCTGTTGCAGTACATTCAATAAAAACATTTTTTTGTATTCACACTCATTTTACTATGATCACCTAAACAGTTTAATAAATGTGATATTTTAAAAATTTTTCTTATTAATAATTTATCATTAATAACAGGTGGAAGCGAAAGAACAACATTATTTGAATCATAAATAACTGGATAAACATCAGAATCTTGAATAATTGTTATATAACGTTTAAGATGTGTAATCATTATAAACAGATAATAATCATTCAAAGCATTATTTTTGTGATTAAAATAAACCAAACTAAATAAAATTCCATCATTTCATCTGCTTGTATTTCTTTTTGTTGATTTAATGAACAAAATTTAATTTGTTTTGGTGATCGAGCATCGTATATAAACGGTGGTTGAATTGTATCAAGATCATGTGTATCAATAGCAACTAATGTTCGATTTCGACATAAAGTTAAATGAAGTTTTTCTTGTAATGTTATACAACTATTAAAACTTTCAGAATTAAATTTAATATTACGTAAAATAACACAAACAACTATTGGACGAATACGTTGAGTCTATTAGAAAAGAAAGTTTAAAATAAATTTTAATAACAGAAATATATAAAAATAAATGTACATTAGGTAAAATTATCATTCAAATTAATTTTTCATCTTTATTTAAGGTAGATAATGAAAACTTTGGTAATTCATTTCTAAAATAGATGATGAAAAATGAAATGTGAATACAAAGAAAAATACAGAAATCAATTTTACTTTTGTAAGAAGATTTTTAATGCTCGACTTAAACCTTCCAAACAAAGAAGATCATAACTAAATATTAAATTTATTTTCAAACTTAGAGAATATATTTAGAAAATATATCGATTTGCTGGAATTTCAATTTTATAGTCCACATCATTATCATTGCTTCCGGGTAATGGTTCCTAAGTAAATTAAAACAATTATTATATTTCAATTAAACATAAATATACAAGACTTTTATCTTTTAATTATTTCGATTTCATGAATTTTAAAAACAAACAAATATTCCACACATTTTCAATCTATATTTCTATCAGAAAGAAACAACATAGATACTAGAACGATTTAGAATTGCAAACAGTTGAGAATTTCGGAACTGATCCGTCGTGTCTGCTCATTTTCATAGGCATCAGAAATTTCAAGCCGAAATTTCGTCGATGAATAGATTAAATGATCAAAAGAATTTTTTGAAAGTTTCAACCGAAAAGAATGTTCGTTTGTCGAATTATTGAATTTCGAGCAAATAGTCGTTTACTATTGAAAGTCCACAAAAAAGCGAGTTTAATTGAAAATCTCGATAAAGAAACATTCTTTTCGTTTGAAACTTTCAGAAATACTTTACTAACGATTAAATTTATCTGAAGATGAAATTTTACATTGAAATGTTGTTTTCTGTTTTTTTTCGGAGCATGCCTGAAGCAAAATAGAAAATTCTTTGACATGGCTGTAATTTGGCTCCGAGTCCCCATGAGGACTAAGCCTTCTAAACTTTTGCTACTTTCATCATTGTGCTCCTGTAGGTACGATATGTACTAGAACGATAAGTATATCAGTTTTAACAGTTCTCTTATCCGATTTTTAAGAAAAACCAAAGCTATCTCTTCGAATGATGGTCTAAATCTAAAATTAATCTCTAAAGAAATGTTCATGAAATTAGTTAAGAAGTTTAGCTCTAATGACACAGTTTTGATTGTGTTTTATTCAAAATGAAATTTATTTCGATTAAAGAAATAAAACACTCTAGAGCGACACAAAGAAATAAAATTGATATCGTTTGACATAAAACTGTTTGGTTACTTTGATAAGAGTCCTTACACTTGCTCTCGACACATTTTATGAGGAAAAACTGAAATATCAATAAAATTTTTTCAAATTGATAAAGACTTACTGGTTACATTTCTGGCATGATTATGCAATCACTTGAGCTCACTAACAACTTTCCTGAGTTATAAAAGTTTTAATGATATTTTTTCTTTGAATAGCGTCCGGTTGAAGAAAAATGATTACATTAATTTGACCTGAATTTTTGTCGATAGATAGATCTAATTGAAACTAGAATATCTTGAAAGTTTGAATAAAAAATCGAATGTGCGACCGTGTGGAAACATTGAACTTACAAAACGAAGTCGAATATCATGTCTTTTTTCGACATCTAACTGAACTCTTGCAAGTTTAATATCTCGAGACAGACACAAATTCATTTTTGTTGAAACTTTTAGAAAATTGTAATTTCAATTAGATCTTCTCACGGACGAAATTTCAGATCAAATCACTGCAATTCTTTTTTCCGACGAATATTGTTAAGAAGAAAGAATGTCATTTATCAATCTGGAATAACATGCCATGATTTGGAGTTATTATACAAATGTTCTAATCTAAGTGTCGGTCATTTTCGGTAAAATTTTAGACAAAAACATGAATGAATCATTTCAGATATTACACTTGTCAGAAGAGATAATTATTTGTTTGAACATGGTAAATGTATGATTTAGTACTATCGATAAGTGAAGATTATCCTTGACATTAGATAATAGCTGAATATGCCTATTAGTACTAAAACAGTTCAACAATTTTTTTGTTCAAAATTTCCTTATTGACATACATTTTTATGGATGTTATATAGAAGTTTATCATCTGTGAATGATTGATCTTGATTCGTAGAATAAATAAAACGAAAGATTTTTTAGATATTCTAGTCATTTGATATTTGTCTTCTGTTTTTATTTAAAACTCATATAGTAATTATGAAAATCTGACAATAAATAAATAATACTAATAAAGCAGAAGGATTTAGTTTTTATTCAATATTGAAGAAAGTTGAATTGCTTGTTTTTCTTTTTTTAAGCCAAACCCAACAGTTATAAATTCATTCTATTAACTTCATTTTCCATCTTATGATATGATTCGATTATCTATTAGATATTAAAATTCATAATAAATTTAACAAGAAAAATTTTATTTCATTAATACTTACAATATCATCCAATTCTAATCCATAATCAAAACATAATTAATCGAATTCTTCATCAGCTAAAAAAGAAATTCAACCTATTATTCATCTTTATTATTTAATTCAAAAATAAAACTTACTAAATTTTTGCCTAAGTTCATCAAAAAGTGTACTTCGCTTAACATCAATGATGGGCATCTACAATGAAAAATAAATAAATAAATAATTACAATTACAAAAAAAAAAAAAAAACGAAAGACGAATGCATTGTACAACAAAAGTTCTATAGATGTTAATTAGTTAAGCGTCACTATAAAGCTTCGAAATGTTCCTATGAAGAACTAATCTGACTACGACTGTTCGCGTAGAATAATGTTTGCCAAAACAGAAAAATAAATAAATAAATAAATAAATATATATACGGCTCCTCCGAAGATTATTCAAGCAGATTTATTTTCCCGTGTTTTTTTCGCTGTCGTAAATGCTAAGAAAAATCTAAATAATGATTTGAGCAAAAAAATTTTATTTCCAACAAGATATCATTTTTAGTCACGATCAGAAAAAAATGTTTAGTTCTGGTTTAGCGCTTAATAATACATGTACTAGCAAAATATGCGATATCATTTTCTAGCAGTACCAATAAGCACAAGGCATCTAGCATGGCGTCTGATATGTTCCCTGTTCGAAGTTCATTACATTTTTTAAGGTCACTAATGCTTCGTTTATTAGACATATTGATGTGTTCGATAACTTGGTTGTATAGGAAAAGCAAATGGATTAATTTTACTATCAAAATTATAACAGCAAATATTGAGATAATAGTTACTCAATAGTGCTCAGCTCAAGTCGAGTTGAATGACGAAAAAAAAACATAGCTGACCTAGGACGAGGTCGGATCAGGTCAAACTGTGCTCAGGTGAAATCGGATCACACAAAATTTGATCCATATCGAACACTGTTACTCAATAATATTCGCACAAAGTCGTGAGAACATGACATTTGGAATAAGTTTCACATGACTGTAAAATATACTAATCCAAATGGAAAAGATTTGTTGCTGTTCCCAGTGCCAGCGAGACCGGAATCGTATTATCTAAATCTCGAATAATAGAAAAAACGACTTTTGTGCCATCTGTAAGGTTAATCTATCTTAGCCACAAATAATATAGAGGGTCGAAAAATGTTTCATTTTGTAGAGATCTGTTTGCTCTATTGTGCTAAGTCATTCAAATAGAATAATGATTGTAAATTCTAGGAACTGAAAAACTTAGTTTTGAATTGTTTCAGAAATCCTATCCTTGAAAAACTAGTCATGATTCTTAATTTCAATAATTCTTATCGGAAATAAAATTTTTTTTACTCCAATGTCAATATGGGCTTTTCATAGCATTTATGACAACGATAAAACTTTAAAAATAAACCTCGTTGCATAATTTTGAAGGTTACTGTTTGTTTAAACTGTCCGTTGGATGTTGATACTTTTCGACAAAATATTCAACCATACGATAGATTAATTCATATTGCCGATCAGTTTGAACAAGACCTGCAAAAAAAAAATATTTTCATAAATAAATTTTACTTTTGTTGAAGAAAGCAAGTAATTTACCTGATCTTTGTGCACGAATATGTTTAACTAAATTTGGAATATCTATTTCAATATCAAGTCCATTAGCACGAATTTTATTCAATATTGTATCAATTGCAATTGTTGCACCTGATCGACCAATTCCAGCACTACAATGAACAACCATTGGTGACTTATCCAAACCAGCTGGATGCGTTTGCGCAATTCTTTCAAAAAATTCGAGAAGTATACCAAGTTGAGTATTGTCACGTTGATTTGATGCAAGTGGAGAATCTTCCAAAAAAAAAAAAAATAACTTTATGAATAAGAAATATTATTTATCGTACCATGGTCACCCCATGCTAAATACTGCCAATGGAAAATGTCCCATGTTCTTCTATCTTCAGTTGTTATTCTTAATGTACGTACACGATAACAACAATCATCATCTTTTAGTAATTGCTGTGATGATGATGGAAATGCATGATATGTACGTGATGTATTATGCCATATTTGTGGTGGACCATAATTTGATTCATTTATATTTTCAACTGTTATTGTACCATATTTTTTTGCTGTATGCAAATCAGGCCAATAACGTGCACATTTATTCTATTTCATTAAAAACAAAATATATTTTAGGAGAATTGGAGAAAATAGTATGATAAAACTCTCCATATAATAAAAAACTCAAGGGAAATTATGAAATATTGTTTGTAATAATGTGTTTAATTAAATACCTTCATGCCTTCTATTTCTCGTGTTATCATTATGATACATTTCACTAATTCTTGTTGTACCATATGCCAAAAATCATTAACTGTCACAGGTAATGGTCCTTGTGTAGCAATATATTCTCTTCTAATACCTTCATAATGCGTTCGAACGCGATTTCCATTCATATAATCTGTAATTGGATAATTTTTCAAAATAATTCGTGTTTCATCATATGGCAAAATATTTCTAAATCGATTTCGAATTCTATTTTCTTGTTTTTCTCCATTTTTTTTATGATATTTTAATGATTGAGATTCATTTTGTTGATTTAATAAATCAAATTCTAAACTAAAACCATTTTTTTGTCCATTTTGTGATGGTGTTAATTTTGATAAATATTCACAACGTTGATGAATATCTCGAGCATAAAACCAATTAGATGTACATGGTTGCACAAGACGAAAAGAAACACCATTTATTCCAACGAGAATATTATGTTTTAAATAAAAATGAATTAAATCATCTAATGATTTAAAATGATCAATTTGTTCTTGTCGACCTTTACCATCAAGAAACCATTGACCATTTGAATACTTTATTTTTATATTAGCTATATTATCAGAAGTTTTTACACATATAACATAATCACCAGGTGTAGTTTCGGAATCTCGAACAAGAAATGTACCATTTTGTCCATATTTATTTAAGAGAGACATAACTTGAGGATGTGATATTGATCCATGATAATATCTAAAATATTATTATTATTAATAAAATAATCAATAAGAAAACTAATTTACATGGTTTTTTTTTTCTTTTACTTTTCAAACGTTGGCATTTTTGCTAATATTGGAGTAGTTAATTCGATAATTTGATTATTGTTATCTCTAAGGTCTCCAACATTTCGACGATAATGATTAATCATATCATATAATGTTGAAAAACATTCTTGTTTTTGACCTAATTCAAAACCTTCATTAGTTCTTTGAATACGTATATGTGTTATTTCACCGTCAGTTTGTCTTTACAAAACAAAAATGAATAATTCAGTTTTTTTTTTCATTTTCGTTTAACATTCATACCGAACTGAAAGTACATATGCATCAGGTTTTGAACGTGATGGACGTACAAGAAAACTACCAGGAATATTTTTTTCTTGTAAAAGTTTTTCAGCGTCTAATACAGATAAATCTCGATGAAAAAAACTAAAATAAATAGTTGATGTAATCGATTGATGTAATACAAGTTTGATTTTATTTACCCACGAGCTAACCGACTAGTCATAGTTCTTAATAAAATATAGGTAAATATATGAGATTCATATAAAAATTATTTGTCATAATTTGATCAGCGAGAAAAATTTAGCGATAAAAATAGAATATTCAATTATTTTTTATCATTTATATCCAATCAATAAATATTTCATTGAAAAAATTCAAGAAAATGATTTCAATTCAAATGAAGTTGCTAAGTAAATAAATTTGACTTATTTTTGATAGGGATTCAATCACATAAATAATTGTAAAATATTATAAACTGTATAATAACACCATCTGTCGAATAGTTCTATTCATTTTATTAAATTTATAGAGAAAACTTTTAATATATATTTATGTTCATAGACTTCAATTTCTCATAATTATTCTTAGATCTTTCTTCAGCTGAATTTGTTTGAATACTTCAACAATCTTGACTTTTATTATCGTTTGATTCATCTAACATTCCAAATCTGTTTATAACAACAATGTTTGCTCTACACTTGTGTGTATAAGTTGAAGATAAGGTAACCACTTCATATAAGATAATTTTATTCAATCATATAAAAGGAAGGCGAGACAACTCTCTGTGTCGCAAAGTACATAGTTACTCTTTTTTTTTTTCCTCGTCTGATTGACTTTTGTGACACAGTCAGTTGTTTCATTTGAAATTAGTTTTTCATACGTTTTACTTTTTCTTCATTTTACCTTCTGAAAAAAAAAATCACGAAATAAAATGGGTAATACATGTACATCAGCAAAAGACGAGCCAACAATTAACAAACCTCCTCAACAAACTAATGTAACACTGTCAAAACTGGCATCTGAAGAAAATCCAAAGGTATCCAAACCTTCATCTGAAGAAGATCAAAGGGTATTAAAACCTACATCTGAAGAAATTCCAGCAGTACCAAGAAGTACAACTGAAGAAACTCCAACACCACCAAGAACTACAACCGAAGAAACTCCAACACCACCAAGAACTACAACTGAAGAAACTTCAACACCACCAAGAACTACAACTGAAGAAACTCCAACACCAACAAATGTTGATCTGCAACAATCGGAAAACTCTCCAAGGATTAGTGAAGAAGACAAAGAAAAGGTTTGAAAAATGTTTCAAATAAAAAAAAAATTTTTTTTTTTCTTAAAAAACAACTCTTTCTTTTTTTCAGGAAAATGCTGATGTTGACACTTAAATACAACATTTTAACTCATTTACGTTTTTTTTCACTTACATACTTGACTAAATCATACAAATAAAAAATAAAATATTCTCAGTTTTTCTACTGTTTTTTGATTTTTTTTTTACGCCATCGATGACATAAGATTATTATTCATCATTGTTTTACTTCCAAACATCGAAGTTTTTGTTGTTTGTCCAAGTAATTTAAGATTTTGTCCATTATCTATTGCTGATATTGGTGTTCGTTTTTTAACTGTTAATTCAGGTGGTCCAATTTTTCGTCGAGTTTTCGGTAATTTTGAACGTGCACGAAGATGAGTATAAAAATTTGCAAATGTTTCAACAATAATCGGCATAGGTAAATCAATAATCAATACACCAGCAACTAAAATAAATTGAAAAAAAACAATGCAAATTTAATTAAATCATGTTTCTATTTTTAATCTAAAAAGAAAACATCTATACCTGTTGAAACAGCACCAATTAACATTCCTAAGATAGTTTTTGGATAATAATCTCCATAGCCTATTGTTGACATTGTAATCATATTAAACCATAATGCATCAGGTATTGAAGTAAACATATTTTCATTTGGATTTTTTGTCATACGTTCAGCATAATAAATTAATGATGCAAATACAGCAACAGCAATTAAAACAAAAAATATTAATAACCATAAAACAGATGATGAATATTTCATTGATGTTAAAATAACTTTTAAACCAGGATGATGATTAAATAATTTAAATAAACGCATTGTACGTATTGTTGATAATAAATCAAGTGCTTCATTATCATTCACATTTAATTTAATTAATGCCCATGTAAAGAAAAACCAAAATGTTGCAAGAAAATCAATTATATTTAATGTAGATTTGCAAAAATCTTTTTTACTTGGACTAACGATAAATCTTACAATTATTTCAAATATAAACCATGAATTACCTAAAATTAAAAACAAAATAAATCAAATTTGATTAAATATTAACATACAAATCCATTCAACAATATCAAATGTTGGATGTACTTGTTGTCGATTTAATGTTGGTGTTCGATCTGTTGTTGTTTTATTAATATAAACATGAACAAAATCGATTTCAGTGATACGAAACATTGATAATGTTTGTAAAACAAAGGAAAGTATTGAAACAAGAATAAAAAATATTGAAATCACAGTAACAACTTTAGCTATAGTGGATGATCGTGGTTCTTCAAATATTTGCCATATAATCATCATCATTTTTTTATATTTGGGTAAACGACCTTGTACATAATCATAATTGTCATCCCAACCAAATTTTTTAAGGACTTCTTGTTTAGATGATCGTACAGTATCTAATTCTAAACTATCTAATATTGATAATGTTTCAGCTGTTGAACGATGTTTTGTATAAGTCATCCTAAAATTAAATAAAACAAAAACAAAAACAATACATATTCAAATTAGTATTTTCAATTAAAACATATACCAACAACATGGTTCAACTTCTTCACGTTGTAAACCCCAATATGATAATTCATCTTCGAATAAAGGTCCACAAACATTTGTTGGATAATGTAATTTTCCTGTACGATAATAATTTAATATTTGAGAAAAAACTCCTGGATGACGATCAAAAAAATATTCATTTAATATTGGATCATAATATGATAATTGTTCAGTTAATTTTGATAAACGTGTAGCTGGTAATTTTTTTAATGTTGATTTTAATGTTTCAAAACGTGTACCACCTACATTAAGAATAATACGTGCATCAATATCTGAATTACCAAGTAAATTCACTGCCATTGTTTATTATTATTTTTTAATTAAAATTTATTCACAGATTATGAAAAATAGCTTTTTTTTATTGCTTAATAAAAATCAACCTAAAAAGAAAAAAACACAAAAAAACGTTCCTATATGAAGCTGAGCTTTATTTCTGTGCATATCTTACCATTATGATGAGTGATGAAATCAATAAGAAAACTCAAGACTATTGATTATTATGATAGTAGTAATAGAAAAAAAAAAAGAAGGAAAATTTGGTCTATTAATCATCGAACGTACGAGCAACAACAACAAGCAGCCGCCGAGATGGAGGAAGAACAAAATTAGGTTCTAGTTCCACTCACTCTGACGCTTTTGCCAAGCGCAACAAGTAAACGCGACCGAGAGAAGCAGGAATTTTTTCCTTTTTTTTCCTCTCGGAAAAGCCAATAGATGTATATATATAAAGAACGCAAACTCTCACAGAACACGCACACAACCAGAAAATAAGAAATAAGCAAAAACTATGTGCGCTTTCTTTTCTCTCATTCACACACATAATACAAAGTCATTTTTCAATTCATTATCAGTTCGGTATTTGCTGTTGTTGCCATGCCATCATCAGTATATTTGCTGTTTGACTTCTTTGAGCTTCGTTTTCTATTAGCATCCGGTGTGTCATAAGTTGATTTAGGTGAAGTGATGCTTTTGTTGTCTTTATCTTTATTTCGAGAAAATGTACTTTTAATGCGAGAGAAAATTTTCTTTTTTTCCATTGGTTCATCATCAGGTTTTTGATCAACAAAACGATCATAAATTGGTTTACGTGTTGATAATTTTGTTTTTCCATCAACATCAGTTTCTTGTACAGCATAAACTGTTTTACCATCACGTAAAACAAGATATTCAGGATTTACTTCTTTATCATTATCTTCTAAATCACGTAATTTTTGTGCATAACGATGTAAATCATCTGTATCAATATCATCGTCTACATCCTCATACATAAGATAATCATAATTTGAACGTTCACCAAATAGTAAATTTTGTTCATCTTTTACAAGCATACTTACACCTGAACGAAGACGATTTAAAAATCCACCTTTTTCATTTGTTGTTTTTCCTGTTGATGGTTTTCCATCTGATTTATCATCTTTACCACCAGGTAACATTTTTCGTATGCGTGATTTTGGCTCTAGTCGAGCTGATTTTGGAAAATATATAATACACCAACTATCATCACCAACATATTGTCCAAAATCAACTGCTGCTGCTAAATTATTATATGCATCTGTTATTTCTGTTTCATAGTCACTTCTTAAAAAGTCATCAATAAATTGTTCATCTTCACCGGGATATGGTGGTGGTGCATCATAAGATATATCGCCAGCAGTTGAACCATATGCACCATCATATTTATATGCATCATTAAATTCTATAATACAAAAAAAAAAGTAATTTACAAAATTTCATTTTTCTTTCATAAATCTAAATCGTCGTTGGTTAGTAAACATATAACTTATTCCTCCAATCCGATATATGTTTCTTTTCTTATTCTCTTTTAACTATATTTATCACTATATCATATCATTTTAAATTCATCATGGCACGTACAAAACAAACAGCTCGTAAATCAACTGGTGGAAAAGCACCACGTAAACAATTAGCTACAAAAGCAGCACGTAAATCTGCACCAGCAACTGGTGGAATTAAAAAACCACATAGATTTCGTCCGGGTACAGTTGCATTACGTGAAATTCGACGTTATCAAAAATCAACAGAATTACTTATTAGAAAATTACCATTTCAACGTTTAGTTAGAGAAATAGCACAAGATTTTAAAACAGATTTACGCTTTCAAACATCAGCTGTTTTAGCTTTACAAGAAGCTTGTGAAGTAATATGAAAAACATTATAATTAACCATTTTATTAATTACGTGTTATATTTATAGTCATATCTTGTTGGCTTGTTTGAAGATACAAATCTATGTGCTATTCATGCGAAACGTGTAACCGTAAGTGTCATTTTTTTTTCGAGGAAATGATTTACAAAGTGACTATCTATTTGTTTTTTGCGTAGATTATGCCAAAAGATATTCAATTGGCTCGACGAATTCGTGGTGAACGTAATTAATTGTAAAAATTGATAAACAAACATATATATATATATATTTAAATAAATACACACCTGAATTAGTAGTATATTCATTTGTATTGTTGATTTGTAAATCATCAAATGACTCTGTAGGTTCTGCTAATTTTTTAGATGTTCTATGTTTTTTTGTCTTTTTAACTTTTTTTTCTGTTGCGGCTTCATCTAATTCATCCATAAGTGAATTATCCAACATTTGAAAATCTTCTTCCAATGATATTGATTTTGGTGCTTTGGATTTTTTCTTTTTCACAGGTTTTTCTATTGTTGTTGTTGCTGTTGTTGGTATTGGTATTGAATCAATATTTTCATTATTTAAATCGATTTTTGATGCTCGTTTTTTCTTCGATTTAACAATAATTTCACCATCAATAGTCGAATTAATTTGAGAAATCTCATCCTCATTTTGTGTTTCACCATTTTCATGAACTTTACGTGTTTTCTTTTTGGTTTTAACTACTTCATCATTATATTCATTTTCATATGGTTCTTCAGTTGGATTATCTGTTGTTGATATGCTAGTAGCTTTTGGTGCTCGTTTTTTTGTTGTACTGGTTTTTATTGAAATTTCTGATGCATCATTTGTCGATGTAGGCTTAGGTTTAGCATAACGACCTTCGGCACCATTAGTAAAAACATCTTTACCATAGACTGATCGATCAATTTCTTCGTAACTCATAATATTAAATAACGTTGTTCGACTGAAAAGTAAAATATCTGTAATAATTTTAAATTAACGAAAGTATAAAAAAAGAAACCATGACATCGAAAATTTTAACTGAGACAAGTCACCGAAAAAAAAAATGAGCAGCCTTTCTTTTTCTGACTTGTTCGATGAAGCGTTTCATTTTATTATCATTATTGACTGTCAACCGTACAAGGTGAAATTAGTGATCGTAATTCAAGGAAAAAAAAAATAAGTACAAGAAAAAAAAACTTTTTAATGAATATATGAGTAACTATTTTGTTTTGTATTTGTTGTTGTTGTTATTATTGTTATTGCTACTCTATTAAGATAAGTGATTAAAACATAAGTGAAGTACGACGATTTTGTTTCGACGGTAAACTCTAGAAATAAAATTTTTTTATTTTTTTGGAATTTCTTTTGATTCAAAAATTTATTCTTTTACATTAGTATGTTGTCTTATAGCTTCTAATTCTGTATCATACGATGTAATTAATGTTTCAAGATATTTTTCAATTTCATCAACAGATCGATTTTGTGGGTTGTAAGCGTTTTCAATTAAGATTTTATATAATGATCGATTGATAACTATCTAACAAGGAAGAATAACAAAAAAAAAAAATTGTATATATTGATTGTATCTCTAATAATATCATACATTATTATTATGAATTCGTGCTTCTCTTAATTTATGCAATTCTTCAGCAATTATTTTACGTCGATCATATAATTTCGTATATGTGCCAATTGAATGTGATGTTTGAATAATAATTTTACCAGATGATTCAAATCTTTGAAAAACAAAAATTGTTTTAAAAATGAAAGATAAAAAATAAAATTACTTTGATTCATCATTATGATCTGTTGTTGTTGTTGTTTTTGATTTAGTAAAATTACGACGACGTTCTTGTACATGATTTTCATTTAACTTAGGAGTACTTATTCTTAATGATTGAACAGTTAATGAATGAGATTTTGAACGATTGTAAGATTTTTTATCATCTAAAGGTAATTTTGATTGTTTTAATAAATCAGATTTTGAATTTTTTGATGGAATCAATGAATGATTGATTGTTTGTTTAAATGAATCATTTTTTATTTGAAAATTACAATTTTCTTCTTCAGTAACTAATGAACTTTTTTGTAATTTATATTGATGATAATATTTTTGAATACGTCGAGCGACAATATTAGCAAGTACATTACCAGATTGACCTCCGTGTGTATAAACAAGATATTTAGTACACGCATCTTGATGATAATTATGAGCAAGATCATATGGTGTTAAGTAGTCATCCTAAATAGACAATTATTTATATAAGAACACTATTCAAATTAGTTTGCACTTTTCTAAATGAACATAAATGTTTTAAGAAAATTACGGTGCAATTTTTCTCGAAAGAAAAGAATTAGGCATTTCAAACAATGTCTAGTCCCTATAGGAAAAAGTTTCAGTCTGATCAAACATGCTATGTGGAAGAAACGGGAGTGATTCTGTACTTCTTTTGTAGTGTAAAAGTTGATTTCGAGAAAAAAAGGAAAAAACAAATTTTCCTCTATGTATCAGAACTTTTGTTCTCTCGGATGAAAGTAATTCAAAACTGGTCGAGTTCAGCAGTGCTAGAGTTTACCTCACCTATGTTGTCAGTTACTGTCTAATGAGAAATAATCATGATCAGTAAGAGACTTTTGTATACAAAGAATAATTGGAACACGACTTTTTCTGCTACGACATTCACGATACTGCAAATCTATATTATCAATGAAAAACGATAAAAAACCCAAATTGACGAAAACTATAAATTGTTTCACTCTTTTCTTACACAAACCTTTTCAAAAAAAGGATATAGAAACATCCCGTTTCTCCGCTTGAGGGTGTCTGGTCGAGCTGAAACTTTTTTTTATATATACTATACACTGTTTAAGAGGAGTATAAAATTTGACGTCATTATTATTCCAGTATTTCATAGAAGATATCATTCGGAAATTTCGAGTCTATGACAACTTTTGCTCTATTGGGCAAGGATTATATGCTCTGAAAATTTCAAGTTGTTCTAACAAGCTGTTCTTCGGAAACTTCGAAAAGGAGATCCTTAAATTGTTGAAAATGATTGTCTAGTTGATTGTTTATGACTTCTAGTCATTCATTAGTATGGATTTCTTTTTATGAAACAACAATCAACAACTGATTCATATCCAGAAATATGTCTATTTTCTCTATTTAATGATTGTTTTCTGTCTATGACATTCTCTACTTCCTACGTTATATTCCTGATCGAAGATTATTCCTCATGTTCTTGCAGTGCTTGAATGTAAGTGCAAATGCTTGATTTTCTTGCTCAAGTGGCTATAAATATGATCACAAATGACCAATAAAAAAAGTTCACCCCAGTCGCAGGCAAATAATTCTAATACTCGATTGAATTCAATCATCCGTCACAATTATAAAAACTGTCTATTATGCATGAGATTAATTTTATTTTCTTCAATTTTACACTCAAAATGATTTGTTTAATAATAAAAATTTACAGGTTAAATGCTGAAGTCTGTGACAGATAGGCGAAAGAAGCAAATCTACATGAGTGAGCACATTTAGTCATGCTTAATGACAAAGAACATTCTTTCACTTTGACCATAGAAGCTATTATTATTTTATTCCAGTTGGTTGTTTCAAGTGCGCTCATTCGTATGATTTTCATGAGTTTAGCACATGAGCTGCTTTAGACGTGCATATAACTCATGCAAACGTTCAAATGCTGATATATGGAAAGAGAGTCGTTTTGATGCAGACACATCTTGAGGTCTGTTGATGTCAAGCCCATGAAAAAGAAAGGTTCAATTTGGAATACTCGTCTAGAGATAGGTAAGTCAGAGTTTTTTTATGATCTAAGTCAAGTCTGAATTTTACTTGATTTGCCTCTCTCCGTATTCATATCTTCAGGTTTAATTATACTGAAAAAAAGATTTTCCATAACCATGTTTTCATCTTTTATGATTTATGAGTCAGAACAATCGTATTTGACAGCTTAATTAATGTTGTAACCAGACGAAAGCTAGAGGACATTAATAAAAGAACCTCGTCAACTGTCTACTCCCAATTCCAATAGATTTCTACATAGTATTGTAATAAAAACTCGAAAGAATTATGATTACTATTGAGATTTGGATAACTAACCGAATTTTGATCTAAATATTTTACACATATAGAAAACTCAACTAAATTAGCTTTCCTAAAGAAATTCAGAAATTTTGAACAAAGTGTCTTCGAGATATGAACCTTTCAAAAAATACATGTTATTTGCACCATGCATAGATAAGGATTTATGTCTTCAAG